CCCCAGAGCTGGCAGAGGGGCAGGATCCCCTCCCTTTAGTCCTGGTTTGCAAAGCTTTTGTCCAGCTCCCTACCCATGAGATGAGCCTTCTTTCATGGCAGGATCACTGGTGCAGGTGGCCACTGGGGTGGTTTCAGAGGCATCTGAGCTGTGCTTTTGAGCAAACGAGGGGTAGAGAATACTTCAAGGTGTTTTGTTGCTTCTCCCTGTGCAGATGCAGAATGAAGTAAAGAGCTGAATTTTTTTTCCTGTGGTGTTTGAGTGTTCAGGAATAAATGGTGGGTAGATGTCCTTCTCTGCAAAGAGCAGCAGTAGAGGGGCTGCATCATACCCTCTGAAGCCTGGGAGTTTGTGATTGCTCAAGCAGAGTGTATCCAAGCAGAGGGATCACAAACACGATCCCACAGCTTTCAAAGTGATGCCTGATACAGTAGTACAGAAAGTCAGGAGTTAAATTCTGACCCAAGCACAGACAGGTGAGGTTGGGGTGTGTTCAGGTCTGGCACAAGTCATTGCTGTCCCTATTCCTCTTCATGCACTCTGTGGATTGATCTGCACTTGGACTAAAACTCCTGCCAGCGTGTAGCTGGCCTTTAGTCCAGCCCAGCAGCTGTGGTGTTCACACAGCCTTGGTGACCTGGGAATTTTCCCCCAAAAGACTCAATATTCTTGATGAAAAGTAATTTTTCTTTTCCTCTGAGAACAAAGCATATTGAAAAATCTATTTGGCATGTGGCTAAGGCTTAGCTTTTCTTTATCAGAACCCTGATGTGCTAGGTTAAAAAGGCAAAGCCCAGGTCCTGCTCAAAGCAAATAAACAGAAAAATATTACAAGGTCCTGCGAAGCATCTGCCAGAAAATGAGGCTCAACTCAGTGGGATTTCCTGGTTAAATACTTGAGATAAATGACGTTCATTTAAAATGAATGTTGCTAATCCACTGTTGCTCCAGAGAGGCTCACGGGGTGCAGTGGATAGAGATTTAGATTCTTGCAGGGCTTAATACTTGTTCTCATTTACATGAGTATCTACAGCAGTGTAACTCTGTGGGACCCTATTCTCTTATTTAAGCCAATAGAAATTAGCCTTGATTACCCTTGTGTAAAACCCAGGTAAAGTAAGAATCAGTCGTGTGGTTATTAAATCATTGAATCACAGACTGGTTTGGGTGGGAAGGGACCTTTGAAGGTCATCTTGTCCAACCCCTCTGCACTGAGCAGGGACATCTGCAGCTAGAGCAGGTTGCTCAGAGCCCACTTGCACCTTTGAACTGTGGCTGTATCTACACATCCTCTCCAGGCTGTCAGTAGCTTTATGGCTGTGCACATGCAATGTGTGTGTCAAGTTCTCACCCTGGCAAACACAGCTTCTGGTTTTGGAGCTCCTTCAGCAGTGATGCTGGAGATATGGTTGCTCTGCTCAGAGCTGCAGGTGAAATGATGTCCCCAGGGAAGCAGGTCTGTATTTGCTGAAGTGGAGCTTCATCTTACAGCTTTTGCCTCCTGCCTGAGCACAACCTTGCTGCTTCTCACCATCTGTTTTAATTTAAGGAAAAATAATAACCAAAAAAAAGGCCAGTCTGCCTTGTCCTGTGTTTGAGGGCTGTTGATACCATGGTGCTGTCTGCAGGCAGGACTTGGGCAGAGCAAAGATGAGTTGTAGCAATGCACAGATTTTCCTCAAGCCTTCATGAAATCAGGTTTCATCCCCTTGGAAGCACTGGTCCCTGAGGATTTCTCTGCAGCTCCATCACAGCACCCTGGTGCTGAGCTTGTGTTGGTGGATGAGCAGAGCTGAGGGTCATGTTCTGGGATTGCAGCTCCTGCTCTTGGCATCTGGGGCTCTGCTATGGAGTTAAAATGACCATGTAAATGTCTGGAAGGTAGGACCAGAGGGAAATATCTGTCCCAGTGTGCTCTGTCTCATTGTATTAAGCAGTAAAGATAACTTAAGTGCTTAAAATAATGAGCAGAAT